CGCAACCTCCGCCTCCTGGGTTCAGGCAATTCTCCTGCCTCAGCCTCCTGAGTAGCTGGGACTACAGGCACGCGCCACCATGCCCAGCTAATTTTTTGTAGTTTTAATAGAGACGGGGTTTCACCATATTGACCAGGATGGTCTCGATCTCTTGACCTCGTGATCCACCCGCCTCGGCCTCCCAAAGTGCTGGGATTACAGGCTTGAGCCACCGCACCCGGCCTAAAACAGATTTTTCTTGATAGATATTTTATCCACCTTTATCCACACATACATAGCTTTGGAATATAGGCTTCCAGAAACCTTCCTGTTTTCCTCTGATCTCTGCCTCGTTTGCTAAATTCATACTGACATTGTGGTATAGTTTCAGTCATTCAATTATGTCACCCCACCATTGTTACTCTGTAGACATACAGAGTGAGAAGAGCACTGGACAGGAAGTCAAGGCCCTAGAGTTTGTCTTTCCACTGACTTGTTGGCTGACCTTGAGGGAGTTGCCCGGCCATCTCTTTGCCTGCTTCCTTATCTGTAATTGAAGGGGTTGAATTCTGTGATCTCCAGGGCCTTTCCTGGCTCTAAAATTCTGTGATTCTGGGAACTAAGATTTGCCAAGGAGTGAAGTTTCTGTAAATATATATATATATTTTTTGAGAGAGTCTCACTCTCTTTCCCAGGCTGGAGTGGTGTGATCTTGGCTCATTGCAACCTCCGCCTCCCAGGTTCAAGTGATTCTCATGCCTCAGCCTCCCAAGTAGCTGGAATTACAGGAACTTGTCATCACGCCTGGCTATTTTTTCTATTTTTGGTAGAGACGGGTTTCACCATGTTGGCCAGGCAGGTCTTGAACTCCTGACCTCAGGTGATCCACCTGCCTCAGCTTCCCAAAGTGCTGGGATTACAGGCATGAGCCACCACGCCTGGTCTTCTGTAAATTTTTAAGTCAAAACAATCACAATTCTCATACCAATAAACTCCTTTTGGCTTGAGAAACAAAAGAGCACTCTTGGTACACAACTAGTGGTACAGCTATGGGAGCAAAGATAACAGAAACAGGATTAAGGCCTCGGAGGTGCTTCCACCTACCGGAGAGAAGCTGCATGACTCTGTATTTGCAGAGTATTTGCCCCACTCTGTTTTTTTTTGGCAGCCTTACTGTCAAGGATGTTTATAGAGATCATGGCTTTATTGGCCTACAGGGACCTTGAGAGCTCTTGGCATCTTTCTTTTGCCCACCAGTTAGGGCGGCTCCTGAGGTTCTCAAACTGAGGAAAGGGGTGGGCAGACATAGGTTCCTTGTCAGATACACACACTTCTCTTCCTACTGAAGGCCTATCTTATTCTCTGGAAATGTTAAATTTCACAATTTGCCTCCATAGTTTTTTATATTTCTTAACCTTGAGACAAAATTGCCAATGTTGATAATCTTAGAGACGGAATCCTGAAATGGAAAGATCTTTGGAGTATAAAGCAAAATAACCTCCCGTTTTCCTGTGCTGTTATTATGTTGGGACACCCTTTGTTAATCCTTTTCTTTTTTTGGAGACAGGGTCTGGCTCTCTTGCCCAGGCTGGAGTGCAGTGGCCCAGTCACAGTTCACTGTAGCCTTGACCTCCCCAGACTCAGGTGATCCTCCCACCTCAGCCTCCCAAGTAGCTGGCACACGCCATGACACTTGGCTAATTTTTTGTAGAGATTGGGTTTCACCATGTTGCCCAGGCTGGTCTCCAACTCCTGGACTGAAGCCATCTGCCTGCCTCAGCCTCCCAAAGTGTTGGTACTACAGGCATGAGCCACAGTGCTCAGCTGCACAGTCCCATCTCCTAACATGATATTCCTTTCCCCTAACGTTATTTAGTACTTAAGTGTTCACAGCTTCACCCACTATCCAGGGCACCCTCAAAGACAAATTCATTGAGGAAATGTACCAAGAGTTTCCATACCTGGAAAGACTGGTGTGGCAGAGAAAGTCTAAGGATTAAAGGAGAGATAGGGATATGACTGTGGGACTAATGTGTATTTTATTTTATTTGGCTGTAGGAACCTGCCCCTCTCCATTGGCATCTCCATGCCCATTGTCACCATCATCTACATCTTGACCAATGTGGCCTATTATACTGTGCTAGACATGAGGGAGATCTTGGCCAGTGATGCTGTTGCTGTGGTAAAGGATTTTCACTAGCAGAAGTTTGAGGGTGTCTTGTGGGGTACTGGGTATATTCCAGCTTTTGAAAGTCTTGGAAAGTGGGTAGACAGCCTTGAAAGGAGTTCATTTAGGATATGGGAGTTGCAAGAAGGCCCTGTTATCCCCATTGTGGAAGAGGGGTTGGATTCCTAGTAGGGGGCATGCCCATCCATGTCTTTCATCCCTTTTAGATCCTACTGATTCTTCCAATCTTTTCCTTTAGACTTTCGCAGATCAGATATCCGGAATATTTAACTGGATAATTCCATTCTCAGTTGCATTATCCTGCTTTGGTGGCCTCAATGCCTCCATTGTGGCTGCTTCTAGGTAAGAGTGGCATCTTTTGTGGGGGGTGTATCATTGAAGAGCTATGGCAGTAGACTGTAGAACTTTCAGGACCTGGACTTTAATCATCTGTGGTCTCCAACTGATACCACAACCTCTTTCTTCTTGTTTCTAGCAGAAGCCTGCAGTTGTCATTAATCTCATTACTGAGCCCCAGTCCATATCATTCAAACACTTTTGAAGGAAGGGATGGCAGAGAGGGAGGGCCATGTGACAGGTGAACCAGGCTGCACTGTGTCCACCAGTTTTCTCAGCTTCTCCTATTTTACCTAACATAGGCTTTTCTTCGTGGGCTCAAGAGAAGGCCATCTCCCTGATGCCATCTGCATGATCCATGTTGAGCGGTTCACACCAGTGCCTTCTCTGCTCTTCAATGTAAGTAAGCTCAAGGATGAGACTGAAAGCCAGATTGTGGGGGAAACTTTAGTAACAGTAGAAGTGACTGTTCTAGTTTCCTGAAAGCTCAAAATAGATTCTGATAGAAAAACTATTGGTGGATCAGAATGTTCACCATGGGCAAGGCATTATGTTAGCCGCTACCGGGAGAATCCAAATGCTCTAAGGAATGGTACACCTCTGCTGTAAGATAAGGCGTAAAGTACATGGACTACATTGTAATGATTGATTGCCATGATAGATAGCAAGTAATATGGTGTTTAAGAGAAGAAATGATCATTTCCATGGAGTAGTGGGTGAATAAAGAAATATTTCTTGAAGTACGTTATGTCTTAAAATCTACCAAAGTGTTCTCAGAAAAAAAGTGCATCTTGATGGCTAGGGTTGCAAATGGTAGAGATGGGCTTTAGGTAGGAGAAATGGCATCAGAAAATCCTGTGGTAAAGTAGTATGGGTTTTAATACAGGTTGAGTATCTCTAATCTGAATATCCAAAATCTGACATGCTCTAAAAATCTGAAACTTTTTGAGTGCTGACTTAACACTCAAAGGAAATGCTCAGTGGAGCATTTTGGATTTTGGACTAGGGATACTCAACATGCAGTAGTAAAGAGCTGGACATTATTGTAGGTTGAAGCCATTATGAAGAGGGTCCTATGCAAGACTTTTGAGGGATTCTTTTGCACTTGCTTTATACAGGGTTAACTTGAAAAATGGGTTGAAAAACCAGTTGAGACTACTGACTTGTAAGAGAGGGGATAAGGTACTGCAACTTGGGTGTTGAAGGGAGTAAAAACAGAAGAGGACCAGGAGACTCTGAGGACTGATGGGGGGATGGATTTGTGGGATATAAAGGGAGTGAAAAGTCCTTGGAGTAACAAAGGCCCTGAAAGGAGCTGACTTGGGCTCTCGCTTACAGGGTATCATGGCATTGATCTACTTGTGTGTGGAGGATATCTTCCAGCTCATTAACTACTACAGCTTCAGCTACTGGTTCTTTGTGGGGCTCTCTATTGTGGGTCAGCTTTATCTGCGCTGGAAGGAGCCTGATCGACCTCGTCCCCTCAAGGTAAGACATCTCCATCCTATCTCTGCTCCATCTGAAATAGCTAGAGTTGCTGCTACAGGGGACCACTACAAGAGAGTTTACTTAGAAACTTTTGCCTGGGACTTGGTGGTTAATAGGTGTTGAAATTAAAGGTATGGAAAGAAGGCTCAGTGTGCTAATCCTTAGGGGAGGTGTGGTTATTGTAGTTGTTAAGAATCCTGAGCTGTCCACCCCAGTTGTGTTTCCTGTGCCCCTAGCTCAGCGTTTTCTTCCCGGTTGTGTTCTGCCTCTGCACCATCTTCCTGGTGGCTGTTCCACTTTACAGTGATACCATCAACTCCCTCATCGGCATTGCCATTGCCCTCTCAGGCCTGCCCTTTTACTTCCTCATCAGAGTGCCAGAACACAAGCGACCTATTTACCTCCGTGGGATCGTGGGTAAGCCTTGCATCCTTAAGTCAGCTCAGCTATTGTAGAGCTTGGTTTCTGCCTTTTTCTCTAAATCTAGGCTCCAAAGACATCTTTGCCATAGTCCCTTCTTATTAACCCTTTGGCTTAAATGGAATCACTCCCCTCAAGCCCATTTCCATTCAATGACACTTGAACTCAGCCCAGTTGACCTCTTCTCAATTCCAACTCAAATTTCTCTTTGGAGGGTCTGCCACAAGGTACCTCCAGATCCTGTGTATGTCAGTTGCTGCAGAAATGGATTTGGAAGATGGAGGAGAGATACCCAAGCGACAGGATCCCAAGTCTAACTAAACACCACCTGGAATCCTGATGTGGAAAGAAGGGGTTTCTGGTCTATGGCTAGAGCTAAGGAAGTTGAAAAGGAAAGCTCACTTCTTTGGAGGCACCTGTCCAGAAGACCAGCCCAGGCAGCTTCAACCTCTGAATTTACTTTTTAAAATGCAAAGTAATTTATTTGTTTTGCTACATACCGTTCCAGACTTTTAAAGGGGACAATAAAGCACACTGTGGGGAGGAGCATGTCAGGAGTGAGCTTGGTTGTTTTAGTAGCACCTGAATATGCCTACCTACTCTTTTCCTTTAAAACGACCCACAATACTCCAATTCCCTGTCTCTTTTAGGGAGACATGATACTGTCACAGGTGCTGGATGACAATAAAAGGTTATGTTCCTAGTCTGACTGGCTTCATTTTTTTTTTGAGACACTCTTGCTGTGTCATCCAGGCTGGACTGGAGTGCAGAGGTGTGATCCTTATGGGAGGTCGGGTTATTTTTGTGGCTCACAGCAACCTCTGCCTCCTGGGTTCAAGCGATTCTCCTGCCTCAGCCTCCAGAGTAGCTGGGATTACAGGCATGCAGCACCACACCTGGCTGTTTGTATTTTTAGTAGAGATGGGGTTTCAACATATTGGCCAGGCTGGACTTGAACTCCTGACCTTGGGCGATCCACCCACCTCGACCTCCCAAAGTGCTGGGATTACAGGTGTGAGCCACCGTGCCTGGCCTGGCTTCATTTTGTATAGTATCTCTTGGACAGCTCCCATTAGCCTAAAAACACAAAGACTAAAAACAATCTTATGCTTGAAAGTGTATCTCTTCTCTTTTAAGCTAGCTGCCGAAGGCCGATAAACCAGGGTGTACACAAAAGCAGACAACAGAACACCTAAATGCTCTAGTGAAATGTTGGATTGTTACATAAAAATACATCAACTTCCTTTTTGAGACAGGATCTTGCTCTGTGGCCGAGGCTGGAGTATATAGAGCAGCATGATCTTGGCTCGCTGCAGCCTCAAGCTCCTGGGCTTAAGCTATCCTCTTACCTCAGCCTCCTGAGTAGCTGGGACGACAGGTGTGTGCCACCATGTGTGCCTGTTTTTGTATTTTTAGTAGAGATGGGGTTTCACCATGTTGGCCAGGCTGGCCTCAAACTCCTGACCTCAGGTGATCCACCCGTCTTGGCCTCCCAAAGTGCTGGATATTCTTCAGTTTTCTGAAGCACACACTCATTTCCCTGTTCAATAAGTATCAGGAAGCAGCATGTAGTACAGAGGTTTACTAACTCTGTGAATGGGAAGATCACTTGGCTACCCAGTGCTCTCTTATAAATATGAATATATATATTAAAACTGTCATGAAATCAGTTTTTCAAATGAACATCTCTGTGTGGCACAGTTCCTAGGACTGGGACAAGGACACAGTGTCAAGTCTTGTTTGAGGATGGATCTTTGAAGAGACAGAGTTCCTCCCACAATGAGCAGGGAACATAAATCAGCCAAGTGTGTCACGCCAGGGATACTTTGACTTTGGTTTGCTGGTGTTGTGGGTGCTGCTGCTGCTGCTGCTAGGGATATTGGGAGGGTTATTCTTTACAGGCTGTAGGAGCGGGTTGTGGGTAAAGGTCTGTCGTAAAGGACCTGAGGGGAGAAGAGAAAACAAATCTCAATGAACAACAGAAAGGAAGAAACAAAAGACAGAATTTGGTCCAAAAGGGTTATTTACCCTTGGCTGCTAGCTCCAAGTGATTCCGCATGCGTTGTTCACGCTGTTGCAGCTGTTGCATCAATTCAGCATTTTTCCAGCCTGTGTAAAGAGAAGCAAGAGAGTCAGTCCCATTCATGTTTTGAGACCACTTTACCTGGTCCTGTTTCACAGAGGACGAGCCCTTACCTCTTTTGAAGCTCTTTAGAAAGCCTTCCGGTGAAGCTGAATTGTCAGGGTTATGTGCAACACGCTGGGGGATTTTAAGTACAGTGCGTACTGCTGGAATCCGGAGACAAGACACTTGGGCCAAGGAAAACAAATTGGAGGAGAGCCAGTACATAAACACTGCCTGGGTGAGAACACAGAGAAAGGACTCAGAAGCTATATCCCTGGTCACCTTGCTAGGTGGCTGGCTAGGTGGCAGAAGGCCTTGGAGCCAGCTCATTAAGCATTACATACCGTGGGGAAATGGACAGTTACGGGAAAAGCTGCCAGGGGCATCACTCTGATCACATTTCTCATCCACTTAAGGTCAGAATTTTGTACACCTGTCTCAGCACCTAACTGCCAAAAGCAGCAGGGTGGAAAAGTCGGGAAAGCACGTTAGTTTCAGTAAATTTGTCTTAACCTCTTACCCATCAACTCTATTTCTTCAGCAAGTGAAGGATGACTATTCTGTACAACTACTTTACCCTTCAATCCCAGTTCACTTTGCAGGCCTGGCACTTGGCCAATTTAGGCTTACCTCAAGGACAACCCACATTGTAGCAGTGACTACCACTGGTAACACGAAGATGGGATCGGATACTGTGAGATCCTGGAACCACCAGAGGCCACCTGTCTGCAGGCTGGGCACAGGAAGGTTGGCCATCTCTCTCAAAGCCAGGAAGAAGGAGATGAAGATTGGGGCCTATTACACGAGATAAACAGTGTCAGCATGCTTTACCAGAGGAGACATTTTCATCACCCCACTACTCAAAGCCATGTATAATCCACCACCATTTGCTATTTTGGGGGTCTGGGGCACATGAAACACAGAGAGGAAATTTGATGGGTTTAGGATGAAATAAGGAAGGAAATGTTTTTGCTCACCTGAGTCAGAGGGAGAATTAGAGGTTTAAAGAAGCTAATACCATGCTTTTTCTGGTAAATTGACATCTCTGCAGAAGCCCTGTAAACTGTGAGGTGAAAGGAAATTAATGGTTGGGCTAACAGTTATGTCAGTGGAGGTGAACATCCTCATCACCTACCTGGCCTGGGAAATTTCTAACCAACCCTGGCCAGTCCCTGGGAGCACTGGGCCCAAGAAACAGATAAACCTTTAGAACTTTCCTGTGTCAACTTCTGATTTACATTGTTCCTTTCTCCCAGCAAAATGTCAGGAAAAGTGCAAATGTGGTCCTCTCCCACACTCATTCTGCAGCTGACTCACACTCAGTATGGTCTCCAGCCAACCTGGCCTCTCTGATTCGAGTGGTAAACTTCTGGATTTCTGGCGCGTGATTTTGATTCTTGACTGCCTCTCGCTGGCCCTTCACGATGACAGGAAAAATCAGGCAGCGGGCTAAGATTGTACCTGGAAAACACAAACTAGAATTGGAGTGAAACTAAAGCAGTTCTACAGCTAGAAGGTTGAAGGTTTTTAGGTCCTCACTGAAAGGGTCTTTTATTCTTGCCTTGTCCATACTGTGACTCATGCCTGAGTCACAGAAGTAAGGTCAGGGGTATGAATTAGCTGCTTTAAGGCTCAAGTCAGTTCTCTGATTTGGCATCACAAAAGTATGGCATTAACTTCTCCAAGCAGATGATCGGGAATCCTGTTTGTTTCCTCAAACAAAAAACTGACAGAAAGCACTTTCCTAGATCAATAGCTTCCAAACTTTTCTACAACCAAAAGAGTCTCCCCGTTCCATCAAACTGTAGGTGTAGCCCCAGTGTACCAAAAACAAAACAAAACAAAACAAAAAAAAACACCAAAAACCAAAAAAACTTGGTGACCTTCACTCTGTTCAGAGGTACCTTTACGAAACTCTAGGGCCTCCAGGAATGAAGTTTGAAAGCCATTGTTCTAGAAGTCCCTGGAGTAGGAAGTAATCTGGTGGCCTACTGCTTTAGTTCCTTCATTTTTCTCACACTTCATGTTTCCTGGTCATTCCAATAAATACGACTAGGTTACAGGTTTAGGCTTTATCAACATTATGATGGATGATGTGGAGTGGAAAGAGAAGGGAGCTAAGGACAGAACCCAGACTACTGGCACTGAAGGAGTAGATAAGATAATTTGGAGATGCAAAAGTATGGTTAGAAAGACAGGAAGAAAATCAGGAAAGATTATCATGAAAGTGAAAGGACTGGCTTTATTTTTTATTTTTTTGAGAGTCTTGCTCTGTCACCCAGGCTGGAGTGCAGTGGCGCAATCTCGGCTCGCTGCAACCTCCACTTCCCAGGTTCAAGCAATTTTCCTGCCTCAGCCTCCTGAGTAGCTGAGACTACAGGCGCCTGCCACCACACCTGATTAATTTTTGTATTGTGGAGACAGGGTTTCACCATATTGGCCAAGCTGGTCTTGAACTCCTGACCTTATAATCTGTCTACCTTCGCCTCCCAAAGTGCTGGGATTACAGGTATGAGCCACCATGCCTGGCAAAGGATTGATTTTAAGGTCTAAAGTTTCTGATGCAGAAAGGCCAAGTATAATAAAAGTGGATTTAGCAATGATGTCACTGACAGTTCAAATGAGATGATATTAGTAAAAGCCAGACTGCCGAGAGTCAAAGTAAATGGAAAGAAGTAGGCTCACTAGATGCAAAGCAATCTTTTATTTATTTTTTTGAGTCGAAGTCTCACTGTCGCCCAGGCTGGAGTGCAGTGGTGTGATCTCAGCTCACTGCAACCTCTGCCTCCAGGGTTCAAGAGATTCTCCTGTCTCAGGCTCCCAAGTAGCTGGGACCACTGGCGCATGCCACCACGCCCAGCTAATTTTTGTAATTTTAGTAGAGACGGGGTTTCACCGTGTTAGCCAGGATGGTCCTGATCGCCTGACCTCATGATCCGCCCGCCTCAGCCTCCCAAAGTGTTGGGATTACAGGCATGAGCCACTGCGCCTGGCAATTTTTGTATTTTTTTAGTAGAGATGGGGTTTCACCATATTGGACGGGCTGGTCTTGAACTCCTGACCTTGTGATCCACCCGCCTCGGCCTCCCAAAGTACTGGGATTACAAGCATGAGCCACTGCACCTGGCCCATGCAGAGCAATCTTTTAATTAACAGCTATCAAAAGAATGAAGCTGTCATTTGTGACAACGTGGATGGAACTGGAGCACTATGTTAAGTGAAATAAGGCAGGCACATAAAGACAAATATCGCCATATTCTCACTTATTTGTGGGATCTAAAAATAAAAACAATTGAAATCATAGGCAGAGAGTAGAAAGGTTACCAGAGGCTGGGAAGGGTAATCAGGGTTGGGGATGGTCAATGGGTTAAAAAAAAAAAAATTAGAATGTAAAAATTAGCCAGGAGTGGTGGCACACCTGTAGTCCCAACTACTTGGGAGGCTGTGGCAAGAGAATCAGGAGGTGGAGGTTGCAGTGAGCCAAGACTGCATCACTGCACTCCAGCCTGGGGACAGAGTGATACTCCGTTTCAATAAATAAATAAATAAAAATAAAATAAAAAGTATAACTGTTTTTTTTTTTTTTTTTTTGAGACGGAGTTTCGCTCTTGTTACCCAGGCTGGAGTGCAATGGCGCGATCTTGGCTGACCGCAACCTCCGTCTCCTGGGTTCAGGCAACTCTCCTGCCTCAGCCTCCCGAGTAGCTGGGACTACAGGCGTGCGCCACCATGCCCAGCTAATTTTTGTATTTTTAGTAGAGACAGGGTTTCACCATGTTGACCAGGATGGTCTTGATCTCTTGATCTCGTGATCCACCAGTCTCGGCCTCCCAAAGTGCTGGGATTACAGGCGTGAGCCACCGTGTCCGGCCTAACTGGATTGTTTTTAACTTTAAGGATAAATGTTTGAGGGGATGGATATCTCATTCTCCATAATGTGATTATTAAACCTTACATGCCTATATCAAAATATCTCATGTAGCCCATAAATATATACACCTACTAGGTATCCACAAAAATTAACAGCAACAAAATATAAATAAATAACAGCCATCAAAGAAAGAAGATAGGGTAGTAGATAAAGGAGAACTAAAAATGAAGGCAAGAAATTTTCCCCCAACTAACACACGGGTACACTTTAGCGTGTTTACATGTTCAGGGTAGGGCAGTAAGGAGGAAAAGGCTGAAGGCACAGGAGAGGGAAGGAATAATTGATGGAGCAAGGTGGAGAAGAGACAGAATTCAAAGCAGACTTTTAGCCTTTATAACAGCAATGCGAGTGGTTTCCCAATTTGGGGGTTTAAGTGCCTGACCTGACCTTCTATTCTTCTAAACCAGGACAGCTTCATGACTGTTAATAAGATACCCTTACTCTAGCCCCATGTTTGTGTTCAAATATCTACTTCTTGAATCCCAGATGATCTGATGGTTTTATAATGCTCTTTAAAAAATATAGGTAGAGTGCATTTAGGTATCATGAGCCTCTATCACTCATTTGAAATCATCTGCTTTTCTGACCCCAGAGCTTCCGCAACTACTTCCTGAATCCATTCAAAGAATTGCCATTGATGAAGTTCTATCCTTAACCCATGTCCAGGGTATATTCCCCTTACAGGCAGCAATGGCCCCCCACCAAGGTAGGCCCAGGTCAACATGCATAAATTCCAGTAAGTTCTGGATCAGTCCCACTGGGGTGTATGAACCCAGCCCCAGTTCAGTGAAGCTCGTTTCTGCAGCAGCTTGGACTATATCTGCAGTCTCTCCAGAAGCCACCTCAGGTACTGCTGTGGGTGAGGGAGTTGCAGGAACAACAGGAGGGGCCTGAACCTGTGTGAAAAAAAGCCTTGTATGATATTCAGTAGAATGAACACATAGAAAGTGAGGCCCTCTTATGATAACCCAGTACTGGGTTCTGTTCTCTCTACTTCTTGTTCTTCCAGGTTAGCCTAGTGTCCACAGAATTCAAGCTTAAAAAGGACATCTCATTTTTGTCAATAGTTAGGAAGAGAAGTTACTTTAAGATTTCATGACTTCCCTTCATGCTGGGAAGTTATTTCTTATATTACTGTTTCCCAAACTTCAGCCATATGAATATCATGATTTTTGCCATATATTAATATGAAACAATTACTTTTCTTTAAGACAGCTCAGAAAACCATATAACATCTCTCTTGTTGTACTCTCCATCATTTCCCCACTGAATTGAAAATCCATCCCAAGCAGGGATGTTACCATTTTGGAGAGCTGTGTGGAACGTAGACAAGAACTCTGCCCTATATTCTTTCCCCTGCTCTCAAACAAAACAAAATACGAAACCAATCAGGAAACACCACTCCTAATGTTGCAGAGACGAAAGACCTCTTACCTGGACTTCTGCAAACGAGATGGCAGAGGTACTGAGGTTGCGGGGGCCGGGAGCCGCAAGGAAGAGGTAGGGTGGGCGACGGCAGCACGGAGCGGCTGGGAATAGGAGCCGCGGGGTCAGCGGTTTCCCGAGCCATTGCGAGGCCCCTGTGACGCTGTGGACCTGAGCGTGTAAAGGGATGATGGAGCCCCTTTACCGGGAGCAGAAATACTAGCGTGGGGGCAAAGAGCATTCACTATGCTCACTTCAAGAAGCAGGCCGCCCAGCTACTACAGGTGAGGAGATTGCTTTTACCGTGCGCAGACTGCTGGCCCGAAGGCGTGCAGCTGGTGGCGCCTGGAGAACGAAGCTCAAACCCCGGTTCCCCGCATCTCAGTTATCGCAGACCCACATCGGGGGACCCTGAGAATGAGCCCGAGGAGCTCTCGCCAGAGGCGAAGCCAGTTCTCAGGAGCTGACAACCAACCCATGCTGCTGAGCCCACAGAGTGGGGGACTAACTCTCGCGTGTCTTCACACGACCAGAGGTCATGACATTCAGGTCCCGGTGAGCAGGTTTATTCATACCCCTAGCACGAGCTGTCCTGGGGCTTGGGTCGCTGGGTCAGGGGAGCATCCTGGTGCTCAACCCCGGCGAATCCTTACCTGACGCCCGGGCTGTAGCAGGCGCAGAATCTCCCGGCGTCCGCACATCAGTCTCATCGCCATTTTGACCGGAAGAGAACTTGCTTTTGCGCCTGCGCACTAAGAACCACCGCGAGAGGAAGCACTTTTGGAAGCCAGCATGTAGCCAGAGTTGTCGCCGCACATCAGGTGGTAAAAGAAAACGGAGATTGGCGGCCATATTTGAGGCGGGTAAAAATTTGTAAAGCCGCGTTACCCATGAGCACGCAGAGAGCCTTTTCTGGAGATTGACAGGAAGTTGAAGAGCCAGGTTAGCTATCATCGTAAGCTGTCCTCGTTAGTGATGGCGTAAACCTGGGTAATTTTCCTTTAATGTCGCGATTGTCCTCTGATTTGTTAGGTTAAAAATAGCCTCAGAACAGTCTTGGCTGTACTTGCGGAGGATTTTTTCCCCACTTAATGATGTTCGGTTCTTATTGCTAGGTAATATTGTAATCGCGGGTCCAATGAAATTTGAGGGTAGTCTAGACTCTAACAGAAATGAAGAGAAGGCAGCTTTTGGGAAATATTTTCCTCCCAAATAAAAATAAAAAGCTTCCAGAGGAGACTCCACCTTTCCATTTTTTCTTCTGTTAGTGGAGTTGTGTGAGGACTGACCCCGAGGGGACAAGTTTTGAGATGAAAAGCTCACATGCTGAAGCTGGTTGAAAGCAAAGATAGAAAACACCCGAATACTTGTTGATATCATTGAGCTGCTGTACCATGCCTGGAACCACCTATCTCCAGTCATTATTGTGTAAGATAATTAAAAGTCTTGGCTGGGCGCGGTAGCTCATTCCTGTAATCTAAGCACTTTGGGAGGCTGAGTTGGGTGGATCATGAGGTCAGGAGTTCTAGACCAGGATGGCCAACTTGGTGAAACCCCCTCTCTACTAAACAAAACAAAAAACAAAAACGAAAAACTATCCGGGTGCGGTGGCATACGTCTGTAGTTCCAGCTACTTGGGAGGCTGAGGCAGGAATCTCTTGAACCCAGAGGCAGAGGTTGCAGTGAGCGGAGATCGAGCCACTGCACTCCAGCCTGGGCGACAGAGTGAGACTCCATCTCAAAAAAAAAAAAAAAAAAAGATAATTAAAGGTCTATTGTTTAGACTCTAAGTGTCTATTGCTTGGGCGTTGTCTTTCTTTAAGTTAAAAGCATTCATCTCCAGAGAAGAAAAAACTTACTGCTCAGAAAGGTGGAGTTGATTACATTTGAACCCTTACAAAGTCTTTTTTTTTTTTAAAAAAAAAGAGATTTCACCATGTTGGCCAGGATAGTCTCGACCTCTTGACTTCGTGATCCACCCGCCTCGACCTCCCAAAGTGCTGGGATTACAGGCGTGAGCCACAGCGCCTGGCTTTGTTTGTTTGTTTTTTTCAGACGGAGCTTCGCTCTTGTTACCCAGGCTGGAGTGCAATGGCGTGATTTCGGCTCACCGGAACCTCCGCCTCCTGGGTTCAAGCAATTCTCCAGCCTCAGCCTCCTGAGTAGCTGGGACTACAGGCACGCGCCACCATGCCCAGCTAATTTTTGTATTTGTAGTAGAGATGGAGTTTCACCTTGTTGACCAGGATGGTCTCGATTTCTTGACTTCGTGATCCATCCGCCTCGGACTTCCAAAGTGCTGGGATTATAGGCCCGAGCCACTGCGGCGGCCCTTGTTTGTGTTTTTTTTTTTTTTTTTTTTTTTTTTTTTNTTTTTTTTTTTTTTTTTTTTTTTACAAAGTCTTTCAATGTGCAGATTACTTTCTAAACAACAAACTGTAGTTTCGAAAAGATGCAATAACCTGAAATGATTTCAGTGACTGCTAATTTGGGACGATTATGAATGTACCTGACAGATATGGCAAAAATAGGAGACAAAAAAATATAATGCAGATTTAGTTATAATTAGTGGTATATGCTAACACTTGCATATGTTGGATGCTATCTTAAACATTAATAGATTTTTAATATGTAAACATTGATTATTTATTTATTTATTTATTTTTTAGAATGAGACAGGATTTCTCCATGTTGGTCAGACTGGTCTCGAACTCCTGACCTCAGCTGATCTGCCTGCCTTGGCCTCTCAAAGTGCTGGGATTACAGTTGTGACTCACCTCGCCCGGCAATTTATTGATTTTTTTAGAGATTACTTTAAAAAATCAATACAGTGGCCAGGTTCAGTGGCTCACACCTATAATCCCAGCACTTTGGGAGGCCAAGGTGGGCGAATCACGAAGTTCACCTGCGTTGGCGTCCCAGAGTGCTGGGATTTGGTGAAACTCCATCTCTACTAAAAATACAAAAAGTTAGCTGGGCATGGTAGCGCATGCCTGTAATCCCAGCTACTCAGGAGGCTGAGGGTAGGAGAATTAACTGAGCCCAGGAGACAGAGGTTGCAGTGAGCCAAGACCGTGCCACTGCACTGCAGCCTGGGCAACAGAGTCAGACAGTGTCTCAAAAAAAAAATCAATACAGTTAGAATAATTACAAATACACAGCTACAGAGCACTTTGCAGGGTGACTATCTTATGGTACACTGCTACTTTGGTGGCCCCAAATGAACCATGCTTCCCAATATTTGCACCTTTAGGAGTTCTCTTCTCGAGTCTGGCAGGTCCCTTAACTTGCTTTAATCAATAGAATGCATCAGAAGTGATGCTATGCCAGTTTGGTCCTACGCCTTAAGAAAGCCTGATAGTTTCTGATTTTGCATTCACGGGAAAGCCAGCTGCTGTGTTAGAAGTTTGACTTCTCAGACTTACATCCTGTGAAAAGCCCAACCAGCCACGTGAAGAAGCACCGAGGTTTGGGCTAACAGCCTCAGTTGAACCCTCAGCTAGCAGTCATCACCAACTTTTGCCAGCCATGTGAAGAAGGCCATTTAAAAAGTGGATTCTCAGCTGGGCACGGTGGTGCATGCCTGTAATCCCAGCTACTCAGGAGGCTGAGGCAGGAGACTTGCTTGAACCCGGGAGGCGGAGATTGTGGTGAGCTGATATCAAGCCATTGCATTCTAGCCTGG